CTCCCGGTGAGCGGGGAGGGTTGGCGGGGCCGCCTCCGGCTTTCCCTTTTGGTTGGGCCGTGCCGTTTGCACGGCGCGGTCGGTGTCAGGCCGGGTGGGTTGGGGGGGCCGGCGCCTGCGTGCAGGCCGCGGGGCTTGGTGGCCCCGCCGGGCCCCAGCCGGTGCGGGCCGGAGGGGGAACCGCAGCACCCCGATCTCTTCTGTTTAGCGGAGCCGGGAGGTTACGGAGGTCCCCTGCCCCCTTTCTTGATCCTGCGGGGCTGGCGTGCTTTGAAGAATTAACGTAATGCTGGCTTTGCTGCGCTCCAGCTCGTGAGCTGCTCCGTGAAAAGCAGCGGGTTGTCCCTATCTGTCGTTCTTACCAACAGTTGTGACCTGAAGTCCTGGCAAAGGAGCATGCTGGCAGCTGGGCTTTCTGCGGCCGTAATGGTGCAGTCGGACCCAAAATTTCTTTTCTGCACATGTAAGGAAATATTCTCCAAGCTCTTGGCCTAGTCCCGGGCACTTGGTTTCTAGTGCCCTGTGCAGGGCAAGGTGAGAGACAGGCCTCCCTGTTGTTATCTTTCTTGTGCAAGCTTCTGGGATTAGCGAGAACTTGTAGCTGTTGGTATCTTCCGTGTGCAGCCGGTTTTATCTGGTGTGGTGGTCAGAAAAAGCATCTATGCAGCCAGTGAAGTGCTATTCAGGAGTTTCTTCCTGAAGTGCTGGCTTCAGTAGAACTGTGAGTGAGCCTCCAACAACAAGGAAGAAAACTAGGCTGGAAGGAGAATTAGGGAAACCAGGGCTGAACTTTCTGCCTGGGTGATCGTGCCAGGCTTAATTGTTGATTGAGGAAACGCAGTTGGTGGAGCTGCTTAGGTGACCCGCGTGGTTCGGGTGAAGGAAATAATCGAGGAGGAAGGGGGCAATCTGCTTTCCCTGTGGGTGTGTAGGGTGGCAAGTGGCTGCGTGTTGTCCTGGCTTGGGAAGCAGATCTGGTGTCAAGATGAGACTTGCCTGAAAGTTGCCATCTGGCTGGCTTGCTGTGTTTGAGGAGGACGGGAGGAGCTCACAGCCCTGGTGGTGGTTCAGTTGTGATGAAAAGTCCTTAGACTTAGGCAGTTGGCAAAGGTCTCCCACGTTTTGGTTTTTTTTTTTCCTGTTGTCGCTATTTTATTTGGCTTGTGTGTAAATGCATATGACAGATTACAGCCCTGACAGGAGAATGACTGTTTTGTATGCGCACTGGCCATTGATGTGGCTTTTGTCCTTGACAGCTGATACTGGAGCCTGCTCAGTGCCTTTTGAGCTGACTCTTCAGTCTTCTGTGGGTGTATTTTAAAGTTAGGTTCCC